TACCGAGCAATAGCAGGTAAATAGTATAATGACTAACAAGGGTCAGGCTGGAGACTCTTGCCTACATGCTCGGGGTCTTACTGATCGCCATATTTGGGGTCGGGAAGGAATTTTCCTCCAGGGTAGATTGGCTGAGGCCATGGAGGTTTTTCGCCTTCCTCCGCAGCATGGGGCAGGGATCACTAGCAGGAGGGTTCTCTGCAAATTGAAGTCACCAAGACACAGGATTTGGGACTTCATCAGCAGAGTCAAGGGAAGGGTAGGGATGGTTTTGTGGCCTGCAGCATGCAGGGGGTCAGACCAGATGATCATAATGGTCCCTTCTGACCTTAAAGTCTATGAGTCTATGAGTCTATGAGCATTTTACACTTACTCTGAACAGATGTGTACAACTGTACAGTGTACAAGGAAGTGAGGAATCAGGCCACTAATGTCAGCATAGTTACACTGGTGTGAAGAGAAAGCCTCAGAAACTCCCCACAAAAAAGGCAAAGAAAACAAAACACCACTTGCCTGCTCCCCATCACAGCTTCGTACAACCCTCTAAATGCAGTGGTTCACAGGTTGTGTGAAATTCCCCTGACTTCATGCAATAGCCTCTCTCCTAGAAGTAGGATTTTTTTTTTCAGCATTTAACCAAAACCAGCAATTATTTAACGCTGTCTAATCCCCATTTCCTCCTCCTCACAAAAAGGAACAGTACAACACACAGAAAATATTTGCAAAAGAATCAGTACAGGAGGGGAAAACAACAACAATGAAATACCAATATGCAGGTTTTCCTAGGGCAGTGGTTCTTCACCTTTATTGCAGCCTGCACCCCTTTGGTTCTCAAAATATGTTCTCGCACCCCTTATCAAAAATCAAAATATGTTCTCACACCCCTTAAACCTCAAAAATATGTTCTTGCACCCCTTAAACCTAGATATATTTTTGTTTGTACATTACAGTAATTGTTAAAAATGTATAATGGTAATAAATATGTAGGTTTGATGAAACAAAGTAGTTGTACTTACGTGCCTGTGCTAAATTTGTGTATTCGATGATTTACCTTCTAAAAAAATCTGGCATCTCTCGCACCTTCAGAAAGGGCATCTCGCACCCCCAGGGGGTGTATGCACATTGGTTAAGAACCATTGTCCTAGGCCCACCCTTAACATTCAGTAAAATTAGTGCTGTAGTAGGGTTACCATATTTCAACACTGAAAAAAGAGGACACTCCACGGGGGCTCTGGCCCCGCCCCAACTCCGCCTCTTCCCCATCCCTGCCTCCGCCCCCTCCCCACCCCCATTCCAACCCCTTCCCCAAAGTCCCCACCCCAACTCTGACCCCTCCTCTGAGCACCCCGCATTCCCCCTTCTCCCTCCCGCTCTGTTCTTGGTTGGGAGTTGCTAAATGCTTCATAAACTGTAAAACGTTTGTAAAACCTACAAAGTGAGGGTGAAACAGAGAAAAGTCTGTGAGCAAAACAAGCTGCTAGTGAGGGAGACATGGTTATCTACATGAGATGTTTTTATTTAAGAATCCATGGTAATACAAATAGTAATGATGATGATGGTGCTAATGCTACAAATAAGCAGTTAAGATTGGGACCTTATTCTAAACAAGAAAATAAATCTAAACCATGGAGAATGCAGTGAAAATTAATATTGATTATTAGGAATAATGGTGAGGTAGGAATAGCATCATGATGGTCAAGGAGAAGGGATTCTGCTAGGACCAGGTAGTAACCATGGTTCTATTTAGTATTTGTGTCAAAGCACATTCACCGCTTAAATACAGTTCTCTGGTTTAGTTATTTGGTACAGTAATTTGCAAACTATGAAGCCGGTAGCGCTCCGCCAAAAGACGCTCGGGGGACCCCGAGTGCGAGTGGCTGCAGCAAAACTAACAACTCGCACCGAGATGATGTCACAGCGGGCGACCCCCCCCCACACACAAATTCGGAGAGCCTTAATATAGTTGAAATACACTGAATTGCAGATTTTTGGATGGACAGAATGGAAAAAATAGTAGCTATTTTGCTAAAAATTAAGGACAGCTGTTAGTGTACAGGACTTCTGGCACTACATTTCTGACTATACCACTGCCTCATTCAGTGACCCTGGGCAAGTCACTAAGGCCTGCTCTACACACAGATTTTGTGCCAGGGTAACTATTTTGGTTAGGGGTATAGTTTTTTTTTAAACCAATTTAGTTATCCCAGTACAACCCCAAGTGTGGAAGTAATTCTATACTGGTACAAGCACTTTGATACCAAGTCCATGCCAGGAAGTTGTCCCACTTTCATTATACTGGTACTGTTAAAATGAGAGAATTTATCCTGCGCCACTAAGGCCTTACACTCAATCTGTTTCCACCTATTTATGATTTTCCACTTGCCGCTTTGTAGGGTGACCAGACAGCAAGTGTGAAAAATCGGGACAGGGTGTGGGGGGTAATAGGAGCCTATATAAGAAAAAGACCCAAAAATCGGGACTATCCCTTTAAAATCGGGACATCTGGTCACCCTACCGCTTTGTGATGCTCACACTGCAGGAGCTCTACAAGCATAAAGTATTTTTATGGCTGTGTATCACGAGTGGGGTGCGTGGCTAAGAGCCTGACCTTTGCCTCACCTCACAAGATATGAAGGTGCAAGACCTGGGTAACGTTTCTCCTGGGTCACAGTTTACGGACAGGGCTAACAGGGCATGCAGCAGCCCGATTGATTTTCACCAGTTCCATTCAGGAAAGTAAACGGAGAAACAGGGAGGGGAGGAAGGGCGGAATCCTGCCTCGCACCTGCTTTGCCTTCACGAGTCCGTCCTGCACCCGGGCTGGGGAGTTGAATGCTGGGCTCTCGCTCCGGCAGGGGAGCATGGGGCAGGTAGGACTGTGAGGCAGAGAGTGCGCAGCCCTCTCGCCAAAGCAGGATCAGGAGGGTAGAAAGCTGGGGCGCAGGGAGGTGGGTTAAAGCGGCTTAGCCGCCCCTCCACATGAGAGAGCCCGCAGAGCTGCCAACCGTGGTGTCCTTCTCTTCTCTCCCCAGGGAGCAGGGCCTCCTCTGCCTGCAAATCCTGCAGCCCGCTCTCCCAGCATGCCATGCAAGCTGGCCCTGGCTACACCACCCTGAAGCACACAGCTCAGCCCCAGCTGGGGTCTTACACTTCCCGCCGCAAGCTGCTCCACTCTCCTTCTGGCTGCTGTGCAATCTACAAGACAAAGGAACTATTACTGTGTAAATGTACCTATCTGTATCGATTCACAATCAAAGGACTTCACTGGCTTTCTAAATGGCCGGAGAACAATTCACTGGGAGCGTGGTTCTTATCATATACGTCATCCCTCCCTACAGTCTGTGATCTGCAGCCAGCGTCTTGATTGGCAACGGTACCCCCAAATCTTGGCGCCCTAGGCGGCTGCCTAGTTTGCCTAGTGGTTGCACCGGCCCTGGACAGAAACAAAAGGTGGGGCAGGAGGAAGCAACATTATCCCGTGTGTGCAGGTGTCTCTCCTTGCTGTGGTGAGGAGCTGGGACTCAAGGCTATTGCAGCTGCTTCTGCAATGGTGGAAGAAGCAGCCCGGACTTCTCTGTTTTTGCAGTCGGCTGATTGCTGCTGTTGAGCACATGACAGGAAAGCACAGAGGCTGCGGGGAGAAAGTGCAGAGCAAGTGAAGCAGATCAGCCGGTAAGTAGCAAGCAAACGGTGTTGCATGGAGAAGGGATTTATTAACTACAGCATAGGGTTACCATACGTCCGGATTTCCCCGCGCCCAGTGGCAGGGCCGCCGGGGGGGAGGGGAGAAAGAAGTAGCCGAAAATCCCTTCCCTGGCTAGAGGCTTCTTTTTAATTTTGACTCACCCGGTGGCGCTCCGAGTCTTCGGCGGCACTTCGGCAGCGGGTCCTTCACGCGCTCTGGGTCTTCGGCAGCACTTCAGTAGCAGGTCCTTCAGTGCCGCCGAAGACCCGGAGCGAGTGAAGGACCCACCGCCGAAGACTAGGAGCGCCGCCCAGTGAGTACAAGCCCCACGTGTTTTTTTACGTGGGGTTTTTTTTTAGTCATCCCTGCTGGGGCCTCATCGAAACTGTTCGAATCGGGCCCTGCACTTCCTAAAGC